GGGGAGGGGGAGAGAGAGGAGGAGAGAGTTTTAAACATAAATAGAATTTAGAATAAAACAAACAGAACTCAAACACTGCTGTCAGATCCGCATTATCGAAATGACAGTAAAAAGGTTAACTATAATTTAATATAACATTGCTAGCGATAAAGAAAATAAAATCAGAGATATAATTTTCATCTTCTTCAAGAGCCAGAACGGAAACAGAAATCTGCGATCATGGTTCGTGACCAATTTATTTTGCTCTCAAAAATGTTTCTGTTCCCCTCCGGCTCTCCCTCACTCTCTCAAAAATGCAAGAATTGCATTCCTTCTAACCTAATCATCATCCACTCATGGACATAGGGAAAGGACAGAACTTGGATTGAGCGTCAGAAAAAAACCCATCCAGGCTTCCCCCGCCAATTTGTCAACCCTTTCGTTGCCTTAGAAGTATAATCGGCGGAACAGAAGTTAGCACAAGTACAGTCAAAATTGTCTAGGACAACCACCCATCGTCATAGAAAAAGCAGATGTCTTAGACAGGTGGATGTCTTCCACACTGTTATAATAATGTGGGTTTTTTAATGAAACGGGGTAAACTGGAAAAGGTCATTTGTACAAGTGATTGCCTTAAATACAGGCGGCCGTTAGAGCAGGCTCAACAGTACCAAGAACCCTTGATCGCAAAACGGAAGGAAAAGTGGGACTGACCTCTGCTGCATCCTGCGCTTGGTGGTACTTGCCACGTTGGCACCGTAGCCGTAGGAGAAGAGAACTCTCTCGGCATCCTTCTCGTCTTCAACTGTTGGAGAGAGAATTACTCATTACAACTCATAAACAGAGACAGAAATTACTCATCAAAACTCCTAAACACAGTCAGAAAAGAAGAAAACAAGAGATGAGAGGTGATTCTGCCAATACTCCAACCATTCAAATGGAGTCGTTGATTTTTTTTTTTTTTACAAAACTCAGTTTACTACTTGTATGACTAGGTTCTTTTTTTTCACAGCATCGAGTTACAAAATGTAACAAACACATTAAAACAGCTTTTTATAAAAATTTTCACACAAAACTCTACACTTGGTACTTGTCTGATAAGTCTTACAATTTTGATAGAGCGGATAGAGCATTTGATTTCTGACCTCGCGGTCAAAGCAACTCAAAACAACCAAAAATAGCAGATAGAACTTTGTAATTCTGAGGTAGCGACATGACACAGAAGACTCACCCTTTGACCGACACAACACATGACACACGACACGTAACACACAATTCACCCTTCGGCCGACACAACACACGACATACGGCACAGACGACTCACCCTTCGACCGACACAACACACGGCACAGACGACTCACCTTCGGCCGCCTGCATGACCACAGTGTCCAGGTCCTGCTCCAACTTCTCGTAGGTTGCCAGTCGGGCCGTCTTGTCCGACACGGAAGCTTCCAGCTCCACCACTTTCTTGTCCATGGAGGCCTGAAGGCTGTAGTACTCTTTGGTCAACACCTGGGAACAGAAGGTCCGAGTATTACACCCCTTTTAAACACTAGAAGGTTATGGAGGCATAGAGGCTGTAGTACTCATTGGTCAGCACCTGGGAACAGATGTTCCGAGTTTTAAGTTTCTTTTAAACATTGTTAGGTTATCTGTGAGGAGAGAGCTCCGACCTAATCTGCATCCTCAGTAAGGCAGAGTCAAGTTGGTGGAGAAGCTTGAAAACTCAACAAAGAATCCAGATTTTTTTAAATCTTGAAAAGGATTCGAACCATGGTCATTCACACCATGTCTGTCTGTCTGTATGTCCCTGTTTCTCTCATTTTCCCTCTCTCTTCCTGCCACTCTCTCTCTTCCTGCCACTCTCTCTTCCTGCCACTCTCTCTCTCTGTTTTCTCTCTCTCTCTCTCTCTCTCTCTCTCTCTCTCTCTCTCTCTCTCTCTCTCCCTCTCTCCCTCTCTCCCTCCCTCTCTCTCTCCCTCCCTTTCCCCTCCACCTCTCTATCTCTCTCCCTCTCCCCCCTCCACCTCTCCATCTCACCCACTCTCCCCAAACCTCTCTCCCTCCCTCTCTCACCTCCACTTTCTTCTGCATCTTCTCAATGTCCATCTCCGCCTGACCAAGGTTCTTCACTGTCTCCGAGTGGATCATCTGCGTCCGCTCCGCCTCAAACATCTTCACCTTCAGATCGTTCTGGACTTCCGAGACTCGACTCTCACTGGTGGCTTGTAGCTGCCGGAATCTGGGGGGACACGGCAACTTACTCATCAATATCCCGAAACACCGTCAGAAATTAAAAACAACCAGAGATCAACTGCTTAGTGTTATGTAGCACTCCGCCATACGCAATTTCGAAAAGTAACGCTTGACAACGTCTTACACTGAGCAGCGGAGAGTAGTAGTGATTTTGCGAGGACTGGGTTCATTCAAATGCTGATTTTCCCTGTAACTCAATTTAGTATGACCAGCTTTTATTTTGTAATCATCAAATGGTGTTAAAACAGTTTTTTCCTTTTTTTTTTTTTCATTTCCATGCTAAACTCTCGAGGAAAAGTTTCAGTTTTTAGTTTTAATAAGTCTCACGGCACTTGCAAGACAAACATCATATAGGTGCTGTACATTTCAAGGAATTAATCAAAAGTAACATAAGAAGAAAATAAAGACTGATTAGGATAATAGATGTCTGATACCAAAAGGGGAGCAAACTACACCAGGGCACCCACCAACCACCTACTGACGAGCTATAAAATGAATTCACATTTGATATTGGTGCGAGTACAGAGAAGCACATTGACACCGTTATGGTTGTTCAGCATTGCGATAGCTTACTAAAAAAAAAGGGAGGTAGGAATAAAAAAGAGAAAAGAAGTAGACCCTGCCAGTGGTGCCCTTCATCCTCCAACAGGAAATCGCGGTTACAGCTTTGTAAGATAAGAAAAAACAGGTAGCTGAGTAAGAGACAACAAGGGGAGATTAAGTACGAGTAAACTTGATTGTATACACATGAAATTTTTCCTTGTATCTACCAACAGAAACAACAAAAACAAGTGCACACTGAGAAAAATAAATCCGCAGTAGCTGCAAAAGTGTAGCATTTTCACAGTATTAGAATAAGTCTTGCAAATGCAGTAAATAAACCTATGTATGTTCAGATCATTCACAATAAGCTGTGTACAAACTAAGGAATCAAAATCAAAGAAAAAAAAATTGGATTTCATGAAACTCTGATTGGAGTTCTTTGATGGGCAAAAAAAAAGGGGGCTCCGATTCTATCAAAGTACTTGGCAGCTTTGGTATAACCGTTCGTTGAGGTGAACTCACTCTGTCAGGAGTTGTTCGTACTTGACAGCAGTCTCCCGCTCGGTGCCGTTAACTCGGTCCCGCTCTGACAGTGCCATGTCCCGAGCCTCTCGCAGATTTCTGCACAAACAAAAAGAGTTTGAGTTTATAGTAAATGTTTTACGCCACTTGCACCAAAAATAGGTCATATAAGTGCTGGAGATTAGAGGTGTGTTTAGAGAGAAACATACAAAGAACAGAAAGAGGAGAGATAAGGATGATAGATGTTCAATAGGAAAGAAGGAGCAAACCACACCAGAGTACCCACCAACCACCGACAGTAAGAGTTTTACGTTACTTGCAACACAAATAGGTCACATAAGAGCTGGAAATTAGAGGTACTACTAAAGAGTAACATACAAAGAAAAGAAAGAGGAGAGATAAGAAAAACAGATGATTGATAGGAAAAAAGAAGCACACCACACCAGAGCATTCCAACCACCCACGAACAAAAATACATTCAAACATGTTAGTACAGTCAAAATTGTCCTAGATGATCACCCACTGTCAAGAACAAAAATAGTTGTCATAGGCAGGTGGGTGTCTTGGACAGTGTGAACGCAATGTTTAAAAAACCCAAAAAAACACTGGGGGGATGGGGGGAAGAAGGGAATAGGTCGTTTGTACAAGTGATTGTCTAGGACAGGTGGCTATTAGAGCAGGTCCAACTGTAGTTCAATGAAATGAGAAAGAGATAAGATAGATAAGATAAGATAATACTTTATTATCCCAGAGGGAAATTTTTCTTGGCTGTACAGAACTGTAAAAATAAATGCAGGTATTCATAAAAAATGTAAATTATATATTACTCTCATTAAAATTCAATATGAAAGGAGATGTAAAGAAGAAAGGTTACATAAGGCGAAATCATGACCTCATCAACTGTGTCTCACCTGTTCTCTCGCTCATACATTTCCCGCGTAGACGTTCGCAGTCTGTCTATCTCTCCGTTGGTGCGTACACGTATCTGCTCCAGCTCTTCCTTCAGTTTGTTCTCATACTCCGATTTGTACTGGTCCCTGGAAGAACAAAAGATAAACAACGTCAGTGAAATGACCTTTCACAGATCTACCACTCATGAAATGTGGAGATGGCAGTTTATGCTGACTTGGTCTTTTTAATTTTTCTTCTTTTTTTTTTGTGAGAGTTGAAAAAAAATAATTTTAATCAACTTTTAAAACATGATAGATGCCTTGGAATCAACCTCAACAGAAAAATTCATACCAATACAGCATAACCACCCTCCCTTATCCATCTATCTTCACACCTATCTGTCAATCCAGCACGAGGCACACACACGCCCACAAACAGCCACTGACCTGGAAGCCACGTATTTCTCATACATCTCCTCCCGGGCCAACTTGGCGTCCTCCAGTTGCCGTGACAACTGCTGCAGCTTCTCCTCCCCAAAGGCGTGCTTGTGGCTGGCCTCGGAGCACTGGCGACTCAGGTAGTCCTTGTCCTGCCGCAGGAGAGCCACCGTCTGCTTGGACGAGGACAGCTGGAACATCACGGAAATGTTTTCATTATTGTCACAGTATAAAAAAAGAGAAGATGGAGATATCTGGGACACGCTCTGAGAATGCCGAAGATGGAAGACGAGATTGCCCTATCAGACATGGCATTGGAAACCAACTAGAAAAGAAAGCTTGGAAGACCAACTGGAAGCTATAGAGGCACAATAAGAGATGAAGCAATCCCCAAGGGCCTAGATACGCCGAAAATGGAGAAAGTGGCACGCGACAGATAAGCGTGGTGTCGACTGCTCTCCGCCTTATGTACCTGACAGTATACGGAGAGAGTAAGTAAGTAAGTATGTTTTCTTTCATCATGTACATTCATGATGCACACCAATGCTTTTACCAAACAGGTATCCATTATGTGCAGTATGTTTGGCCTCAGGTTCACATAAAAACAGTACTTCCAAAATATCCTGAAATTTGGTGAGGCGCTTGCCAGAGTCAAACAGGCAGAGTTGTACAGACAGACAGAAAGACAGACAGACAGAAAAACAGACAGAAGTGTAAAGGTAATCGAACTCAGATCTTCTCTACCACGCAATGGCAAAAAGCCTCAATAAATACCAACCACAGACATCAACTTTTCTTTGTTCTGTCTGTAACATAAAAAGCAGTTTTGTTTCTCTTAGAGAAAGGACTCACTGCCTGACCACTGAGAAAGAAAATATTCCCAATAAGCAGTCCATTATTACTGGTCGGCAAAACTCTAGTCCTGCCATAACTCTTTATCTCCAGCAAGCCGCTCCCAGTGGCTCGCGGTCAGAACCGCTGTGCCAGTGAGTCGCTGACAGCGGCTCGGGTACATTCCTTTACGACGACTTCAACATCAAATTACTTTTCAGCAGCTGCCGAAAACAAATCTCTTTTATCAGGATTCTATTCATAAGATGAAGAACTATCGAAATAGGTTCACTTGTTTTTATTTTATGACCAATTCAGTGATGTTTCGTCATTTTTAGATTTAGAACCAAAAAAAGGCCGTGGCGTAGTGGGTTTACCCACCCCTCCCTTGAGATAAAGAGTTAAGAAAACACAACCCCCAGTGCATTATACTGTACACATGCCTTATTTCATGTGCAGCACAATACACAAAGTCTCACCTCACGACTGAGATCATCTCGTTCCTTTTGCAGCGCGGCCAGAGATGCCTCGGCTGCCACAAGTTGCCGCACAGACTCCAGCTGGTCTTGTTCAAACGAGTCCCTCTCACTGTGGAGAAATGGTGATGAATATTCAAAAGAACAAGGTTTTTCCCTTTCCAGGATTATTTCTTCTCAATTATTGTCCTACTGGAGACACAGTGCATCGCCACAACAAGACCCATTCTTTCTCCTGTAGGGGGTTCCACTTTAAAACAATCACTAAAAGAAAGAGCTTACAACACGAAGTACTCAAGTTATAAAGGAAGAGGTAGGCCACGTTAAAGATGGAATGAGGGAGTCATAGGAACCCTGAAAAACTACAGTTCAACATCTCAATTGAAAGAGCTGCAGGGTTGGGACTACCTTGGAAAAGTGCATCTCCCCCTGATGCTCAACAGCAACAGAGGATGAAAAAGTTAAAAGTAAAATACCAAAAGAAAAGAAAAGAAAAGCAACAAAAAAGAGTTCCACCGACCTCTTGACCCTGTCGTAGTTTTCCACCTTGTAGTCATCCACCTTGACGCGTGTCGCTGTTTCTGCGTAGTCAGTCGTGGCCTTCTGGTATTTGACCCTCAGCTCTCCGTGTGCCTGTCGCTCTTCCTCCAGGTTCTGTTCACAGACAAGACAGAGATAACAACAACATGTGAAGGGTACAGACAACATGAGTTACTTATTGGATTTTAGCCCTATGGAAATATAGACATACGGTATTACATATGTCAATTTTTCAATCCTGCCTTATGTAATTTATGAGTATTAAATAATAAAAGACATAATATTAAACTAGAAGAAAATGACATCCACTGTTGAAAACCTGCAAATTAAATGCCTGTGTAGATTTTTGGCTGATTGTGAGAAATAACTCATTTGTCAGCACGCCTCACAAACGGTACTTTATTACTCCAGAGTAGAATTTGCACAGTGTTGAAAAGGGCATTAGGTTAATAAAGTTAACAATTTTTACTTAAGAGACTCTCAAAGCCTTAAAGCTAATTTGACATTTTATGATAAATAAGCCAGCACGAGAACTCTAGCATTTTCCCAGAAAGCAGGACAGGATAGTGACAGGCAACATGGAACAGAAGGAGCAAATGGCAAGAGTGTCCCCATCACCAATCCTCCACAGAGTCAAAGTGTATACATGATAATCCCCACACCCTTAAATTCCATCTTGTACAAGGACATGCACACACAAACAAACACACACACAAGCATACACACACGCACACATTCTCCCTCACCTTCTGTACATCCAGCAGTTGCCTCGACAAACCAGTCACCTCCTCCTCTAGGGATTTGTTCTGGGACCTCAGCTGAGAGACTTCTGTCTGCACCGGCTTCACTGCTTCGTACTGGCGCATCTGATGATGTGTAGATAAAAACAGATAAAAAGTTGAAAAAGATACAACTCTTCCACTTTCATGGTCATTTACTTATACAGTCTAGCACTAGAATTAATAAAAAGAATAATTCTTTACTGATTACAGGGTTATTTTATGCTTAATTTTCAGCAGCTAATTTGACTAGAGCAGTAGATCAACATAGTATAAACTATGAAAGAAATCTTAGCCAAATCCAATTTGAGAAAAAGACCCCCCAAAAAATCAACACATTCACAAACACCAAAGAATGAATGGAAGCATGAGCCAGATCAAAACAGTTATAACAAACGAATTCATAAAAATTTACCGCAACATAATCTCTGAGCGACAACTCTTCTTCCGGCAAGCCTCGCAGCTGATAGAACCGTTCCTCGGAGATGGTCAGGTCTCGAAGTGACCGCCGCACGTCTCCTGCCTTCTCTTGCAGTCGCTCGTTAGCTGCCTCCAGCTGCTGTTGTCTCGACCGCACACCGTCCAGCTCACGCTTGATGAGCTCCTGGCGCTTCCGAGCATCGTCCGACTGAATCTGAAGCTCTGACTCCAGCCGAGCCTGAGGATGTTACAACAGGGAGGAATAAAGGGTGGAGAATTTCACACAACTAAGAGATCAAATGATCCCTTTTAAGGACAAGCAGGCTAACCCAGATTTCTGGGGTTTCCAGAAATCTTGACCTGCACCAAAAGTGAGCATCCACTACTTATATGAGAAGTTCAGTTTCATTGGTGGGTACATTTATTTTGTTATAGAGAAAACTCTCCATGTCTTTTTAAGAAACCGAACAAGGGGTAAAAACTTTACCATCGATTTTTTCAGAACAGTATTTTTCGGGATATCCCCCTTGTGCTTAAAAGCGACTAAATGAGGTAGTACTGAAAGACTGACGAGGGGCAGCCATTATTTTTTTTTCGTAGTAAAGAAGAGACAAAGATACAGCCCCTTGAACACTTGGATTAGCATGATTTTAAAGACCTTGAAGATCCCATAGTCAAAAAATTGGAAATTTGCAAATTTTTTAAAAAGTGACAGCTTGCATTTGTACACATCCATGAGAATGAACACATTTCGTACCATACATGGGGATTCCCCCTACTTATAATATAATTCTCTTGTCATGGTAAGCCCTAGCTTATTCTAGCATTAGAGTTCCAAAATTTACTTGGCCAAGGAAAAGGGCAGCTGGCGAATTAATTTAGTATAAAAAGTGCAAACAGTTTTCTCACACCCTCTCTTAACTGAAACAATGACTTCCTCAGACCCAGCTTATTCACGGCTGCTACATTTTATCATGTTGTCTCTATCACATCTATCATCTAGCCTCCATGATCATTTGTATAGCCATGAATATGAATCTGCGTGAATTATTTCCACTGTGTTACATTGTCATTGTTATTTTAAAACCTCTTTTTTCAAACCATAAGATGCAGTTCAGTTAAAATCTAGAGTAGCAAAAAAATAAAAAGAATTGTTATACGTGCATTTTTTTCTACACAACACACTATGGTACTTTCACTAAATTTAACTAGTCTGTTGTAGTATAATGACTATTCTGGCCGGGTTGTACTTTACCGGACCACCCGTCTGGGCCCATGATTACTATGCATGCCTAGCCTAACTACGCACTCATAGTTCTCTACGGGCGGACAAAAAGGTAGATCTAGTTCCGCGGGCGACTTCGCACAGAGAGCAAGCCAGGGCCGAGGAGGTGAGCGAGAGGTGGTGGTTGAGGGTGGGTAGGGGATTTAACTTTGATGGACCCACCGTGTATCATACCAGGGGGGGGGGGGGGGGGGGGGGTTCAGGGGGGGCAACCCCCTGAAAACAATAATAAAGAAAACACACAAACACAAAACAATTTACATGAGCGGACAATCGTGTTTACATATTAATGTAACAACAGTGGAGGGTTCCCCCCCTGGCAAAAATGATTTAAAAACACACACATACACATAAATGCAAAACAATAACATGAGTGGACCATAGAACTAAGTGGACAATCGGGGTAATTAGAGTTGGAACAGGACGAGCCTTGCTTCTCGGCACTCGTCAAGTCGCGAGCGGGACCGAGGGGGTTGCAATTAAGCAAATGAGCTCTCAAGCGCATCTCTCGTCCTCCATTGTACTTTGCCGGACCAGGAGAGAGATAGGCCTTGCAGAGTCGCGAGCAAATAAGAATAGTGGACCACGTGATTAGATTGACCAATTAGCCTCAAAGTGTCATGGTCGAGGGTCAAAGGGCACAGTGGCACGGTCGTGATGGCTGAAAAACCCGGTGAGAGATGTCAGTCGGTAGTTGGCAGTCGAAGGGTGTGGACGTAGAAAAGTGAGTAGGAGACAGTAGGGGAGTTCTGAAAGGAAGAATAGCGGACCTCACTAGGCACTAATGAAAGTAGTTCCGACCAGCGGTTACCGCTGGTCAGGTAAAGTACAATCTTACCACTATTCTAATGCCACTAATAACCGCAATATACAACATTATAAATATAATATTATAGATCTAGAATGACTCTAGAGAGATCTAGATCTACATCTAGACTAGACTAGATGTAGAATCTAGATCTAGAATCTAGACTCTAGATCTAGATATCTAGTTTGCTGTTATTCTGAGTGAAAGTGAAAGTCTTTTTTACGACACGAACCTGTAAGATTTGTTTCTGATGAGTGGCATCATGTAGTTTCTCTTCCAATTCTTCAGTTTGCTGTAAATGTTCAGCTTTCAAATTTTCTAAAGCGAGATTTTTTTGTGACACTTCAATCTTCAACAATTGCATGTCGTGTAACATTTGTTTACGTTCGATGATCTGCTTCGTGATGTGTCTTTTCTTGTTCCGTGTTTCCGCTTCGCTGTGGTCAGGCGACATCGTCAAATCTGTTGGCACACTGGTCTCGAGACTAAAGTCCTCGGACTCTATCTCTTCAAATGTTTTGGACAAATCTCTTGCAGCCATTTTACTTATAAGGTTTCGCCTCCGCAGAGCGGAGACTTATATTGAAATTCAAGTTTCCTTCGAATGGTCTTCTTCCTTAGCCGCGACCTGGCGTTCATCCGGGTTCTCTGTTACCCCGGCGGGAGGTGTTGTTGAAATTTTCTCCTGAAGGGAGAATTTCTTGGTTGACATAAATTGAATATTTAGAGAGCTGGACAAAACATACTTTGCACATAATATTATTTGTAGGCTATTCTGAAGGCTATTACATGTAATTAAATATTTGCTTCTAGGCCTACATATTGTTGTGACAGAAAGTGGACGTAAGAGATTTTTTGCGTAAGCATAAAAATTGAAAACTGTAAACCGTATAGATCTAATGTATCTATAATTCATCGTATCCATACCAGGACCTAACAACAAACTCCTCGTATCAACCTTATTATAATTCTTTTCATGAAGAAGGCAATTTGAATTACCGTATGTAGGCCTATTATTATATCTCATGGCTTTTATATTATACATCAAGTAAATAAAACTTGAAGACAGTTTCAATGTGCCTAGATATCTAGTTCTTTTTTCTAAGGCAAAATGTGTGGTCAGCTCTTTTGCTACCCGCAAAAAGGTTTGTCTTTAGGATCAGGGTTAATAATTGTTGCTTGAAGCTGACAAGAAGACCGTCAAGCGGAACAATTTGTCTGACCGATCTGGTGGTAACCGTCAATTATAGTAGAGTAAAAGCATCGCTGGCTTGTGACAGCTAAGCAATTGCTATAAAGATAGAGGAAATAAACCGTACTTGTTTGTTTTTGTAAGTGTTTTACGACGCTCGCAACTGCAATAAGGTCACACGAGCTCGTGGGACACATTAAACTTTTTCAGTAGATAGGAAAAGTTGAATCATGCCCGGGTAGTGACCGAAAAATGTTCTTCTCTAAATGTGTCTCCTTTCACCTCCTTTCCTGCTCTCTAACAATGTCCTGTCGTCTGCTTTCGTCTCCTCTTTCTGCCCCCACCCCCTCACCTCCTTTGCCTCCTCTTCTGGGCTCCTGATTCTTTCTGCAGCCTTTCTACTGCTACCCCTTGGTTTCTTAACAATAAATAAAGGGAACAAAATAGTGGCCGCCCCTCGCTGCCGTCTTTCAGTAGCCTACTACCTCGTTTGAAATTTAGGTTTTCTGAAATTCTCAACGTACGGTTTATGGGGCTCTCATGGTCTAGAGGTTAATGTGTTGGCCTCTCTTTCAAAGGTCCAGCGAGGGGCGGCCACTATTTTGTTCCCTTTATTTATTGTTAAGAAGAGACTGATATCCAGCCCCCAGAACACTTGAACCGGCCTGATTTAAAAGACCTTAAGCATTCCATTCTCAAGAATATGGAAAGTTGCAAATAAAAGTGACAGTTTATATTTGTATAATTTATTTTATACTGAGCCTTATTCGATTTTTAATGCCCGAATTCGAAAGCTAATTATTTTTTCTTTTACTTCATTCTCCAACGAAACAATTAACTATTCTTTAGGAGACAGTTGGCTAAAACAGCACCTGGACATGGATGGCTGGTGCCTCTAAGGAGACAGCGTGATGTTCCGACCAAGATCTATAGATTCTTGTTAATTTCACCTGAATAAGCTCTAGAGATCTGGCAAAGCTGTTAGTATTGTTATATTATAGTGCTTAGCATGGCAGGCTAGAAGAATAATTAAGTTACAGATGGCGGCGCCTTATACAGGCTACATATACGCAGAGCTTTGTTTGGTCTTCATTTTGGGTAGCCTTTCATTTTTCATAACTCTTTGAATCCTGTTTAAAAGGTTTCCTTTCTGTGGACAAAGTCTGAGGTGTTCTTCCGATGTCCAACACTTTTCATTGTTATTCTTTGCAGAATATTTCAGGAGTCTTTAGCGCTGAGATGTTACTCTATATTATCGACTCTTTTTTTTTTGGGGGGGGGGGGGGGGCTAGTACTAGTAGGTAAAAAAGAATACGCATGCAAAATTAGTTCTTGTGTTATCGAAGACACAAGAATTTACTAGTTAAATTCAAGTGTCTGTGGTTTTTAACCCCTGCATTGCTGAAACGCGCATCTTCGTTTGTACCGGTACAGTAAAATGCTTATCCAAGAGAGATTCGACTAAATCCATAGTACCTGCCATCTTATTATAGAATAAGCAACTGCACAAGTGATAGTTACATTTCTTGAACCTTCCTCTAAAGGCCAATTTAAGAAAATAGCAATGAACATGTTTTTGGGGACACAAGGGAATACATACGTCCTCGCAGCAGCAGTGAAGAGGTTAAAGTAAGCGTGTATACATTATGATACAAATCAATGGCAGACATGGCCGGGGTGCTCAGTTTGCCACAAATTGGTGTCACTATTTCATTTAAGTATTTGATTAATGACGACAGTCATAATTACAAAACTTAAACTTAACACTGTAGTTGCAAACTTAAGTTTTGTATTCTCTACCTTCAAATTGGTGATCTTGTAGTCGAGATAGTCCCTCTAAAATGTCAATTTAGCTTGTATTGTTCAGTATTTCTTCCTTTTTTAAAATGCAAATCAAAGCAAATTACTCTGTAAAATGTCAACAATGAAAGTTCTTTCGTAAAAAACAATTGAAAACATATTTAATTAAAGTGTTCACTAAGACTAAGATTAAAGATAGGTGCATCTCTGGACTGTTGTGTTTGATAAAGAGGCTTTGGTACCCTAAAAATAGGATACATGTGTCTTTCAGCCTTTACGTGAACAAAACGCTCTATATACTCTGGAAAATGAGCTGTCCTAGTTTACACAAGTTTGGTTCAACGAAGCTTAAGCTCTTTAACCCTGATTTGGCCTACTGCAATGTACAGGGTGGGTATTTCCCGACCCCCACCCCAGGGCTATCCGAATTTGAGAGCCACAATGCAATTTTATTTTTATATTACGCCATTTCACTTGTAGAATCTAGCCTAGTCTCAAACCCAAAGTTTTAAGGCGCGATTATATGAATCTATTCGCTCACATCCGGTACGGCTTTCTTTAACGTTTGGTATTTTGCATTTTTAATTTAAAGTCACTTTTTCCAAACAAGTCGTGGACTCCGACAACGAAATCAAACGTTGGGTCTACCGGATAGATCTAATAGCAGCTGTACACGGATAGGATTGCCGAGAATAAATGACAGGTAGGCCTATAATGTCAAGATCTTCGTTCATTTCAACGGGTGCAAAGGCTTTCCATCAAACTGCCATCTGTCATGACAAAAATGTCTCTGACCGGTTGAGGCTCTTCAAATTTAGCAGTTAACGGAGGGGTTTTCGATTACGGATCTAGAAAAAACAACGACTGATTTTCAGAATACACCCCAAAAGTCAAAATTCGGCTCAAAATTATGGAATTTGAGTTGTAGGCATTTTAAGCTTCCTCAGCCTCTCCTACAATTATTACATCACATTAGAACCCCCAAAAACAGTATTTTCCCCATACCGGGCATGTTTGTCACCGCCATTTCCTTATAAAGTCAGTATTTTATTTTTCTTTATCGGCCATTTTCTTAAAACGTGACTTTTCTTTATACTTTTTTGAATAACTCCACCATTTTTCATCCAATCTTCATGAAATTTTCATAGAATGAAGAGAAGATATAATGGTTCATTTCGTGTCTTAAGTTTTACCATGAACGTCAAGGTGGCAGACATACCAAATATTTTGGATTTGAGAATAATAGAAATAATTGTTGTTGAAACCTATTATATTTTGTTTTATTTTATTTAGATTTTGGTTTGCCGGACGGTCGGGGGGGGGGGGGTTTGTTTGTTTGTTGTTGTTGTTGTTGTTGTTGTTGTTGTTGTTGTTGTTGTTGTTGTTGTTGTTGTTGTTGTTGTTGTTGTTCGTTTTTTTTATTGGGGAAACCCCAGTATTTTTATCACATTCTATGATTCTTATAAACCCCCTTGTAAGCTCACATACTCATGCAACCATCCTGACACAAACAAACGCATGTGCACATAGCCACGTTGGAATACAAATACAATGTATAAACAGCTGACAATGTGAAGTTAACTGTGTTTGTAGTGAACATTAAATTTCTTCTGGCTGCTTGCTCTTACTGGTGGTACCTTTTCCATTGTGTTCCAGAAAATGAACTCTATGGGAATCACAAGATGGGGGAAAGCAACGATTACTCTACCATTGAAATGCCCTTGACCTTTGAGACATCTGCCTAAAGGTCACCACCAGCAATATCGGGTGAGCAGGGTGCAAGATGTCAGCTGACCCACCTGCCTGTCGGGCCCTCTGCTCGTGAAGACAACACAACGATGGCTTCTAATGGCGGGCGGTTAGGTTACCGGTTACTTATATTACTTACTTACTTGGTTTGAGAATAGGCATCACTACAGGCTGCCAAATGTCATAGCTGGTCCTCCCTCCTCTCCAGGATCTACGACAGGGTCTGCTTGATGATCGTGCCAGTTATCAGCTTGTTGGATTATATTCTTCTGGCTTTTACACACAGGTTGCTGTCTCTCCCCGGCCCTCTAGAGACACCAGCTTCCCTCCTTCTTTCCATCGCGTGTGATGTGGTGCCTTCATCTTCTCTGTGATCGTTGAACCATGCTGTCAATGCTGCCATGACTGCTGGTGGATCTACTAGAGGTCGCACAACTGCTCTACTTGTATATTTGCACTTTCTCGTGAACTGATAGGTCAAATTCCACTATATTAAATTGGTATGTTTTTTCATCAGAATTTGGCAAGGACTACGAATATTTGACATCACAATATTAATATTATACCATTTGAAAAAAAATGTGTTCGAGACAATTGACAATTCGTCTGGCTGAACTTGCTCCACAACACGAACTGGACTTGTCGGATTTTTTTTTTTTAATGGCCACCATAAAGCAAACTAGACGGACTCCCGTCAATGCCCTTCAACTGCAACGGCTGGACACCCGGACGCCCGACTTCGGTCTGAACACAAGCAAGTGGGACAGAGAACTGCACTTCGTGTGTGTGACGGGAGAGCTCGTACGTGCGTGTACGTGGATCTTTGCTCGGAATGTGCAGTTGTGTGAGAAGGACGGTGAAGAGAAAGACTTTGTGGAAGCAATAGGTACCTACGGGAGGAGATCAGATCAAAGGTGGGCCTACTACAGTGAAGACAAGCAAAAGCCGACCTCAGACTCAAAAAGGTGGTCAAGGAACAATACTACATGTACGGGCAAGTCATGGACGGGGTGTGATCTCGAGGGCAGTACGAACACTTCAAGGATGAAATGAACGACTGGTAAAAGTAAAGAATAGCCCTTACTTTGAACTGCTCGATCTAGTGAAAAATATCCAAGGTCACTATATTATGTATATGGCTTCGGTGACCTAGTGGTTGGGTTACCGTTCTCGTCATCAAGAGATTGCGGGTTCAGCGGTTCGAGCCTCAGCTCTGTCCTACGTTCTGTTCTTGGGAAAGGCACTTTATACGAAATTCCTATTTGGGCTCAGTCCTTTCGGAGAGGGACGTTAAACTCGGAGGTCCCGCCTCTACTTAAATAACCTAATAGTTTGTAGTGGGACAGAGAACTTAAACCATTTCACCATTTTCACCAAGGTCACCCCAGGGGATACAACGGGGTCGCAGCTATGTCTTACACAAACAGAAAACATTAGGCTGTGGTTACTGTGAAGCATGAAAACATTTCTTTAATCGAAAAAGACAAATGCATACCGTGAGCTCAAATGTCAGAGCATTTCTCTGGTAGGACTGCAATGAACGTAATCTAGTCTGCAAGTAATTAGACCAGAGTTCATAGAGAGGAGTATCACAACCATATTTATTATTATGCAGTGAGCCAAGGTTCAAAGTTCGATTACTACTCTGTATAGGCCTACGTGTATTTTCAATGAAGAATATCCACAAGGCTCATGAACGTTATGGTTAATAGGGTGATTTCCCTTTACTCTGGAAAATGTTTGCGTTGGTTTTTGCTCTGCTCTGAGCCCTGCCTGTGTATGGTTTAGAGCTTATTTTCTTTCAAAATACAAGACAAATTTATTCATTCTTCTTTCAAACTAACAGTGCTGTTAGATAAAAAGTTGTGAAAAAATATAGCAGAGACAAAGAGAAGACTCATCTTTCAGGTGAGGCCCCTTGGTGTCTGTGGTGTAGCAGTAAGTCTCTTTGGTATTGCACGCTGCAGACATGAGAGTTTGATTCCCGAGTGGGGAAGTTTTGGTTGTTGTTTTTTGTAATCCAGTACTTTCGTCTGTCTGCTGAGATGCTGTATTTACGGGTTGGCAGTTGGCTCTGACAGGCAGGGTCAGAGTTAGAACCTAGCGTGCTCTAGACACCCATTTTGTAATTTAACTAAACAAGATTACTGTACAGCAGTCAGAAAGAAAAATATGGTCACCGAAATGGCGTGGTTGTGGGGAGCAAAATGGCTTGGCAAGGAAAGAGTTACAATGGCGATATCTGCCTTTTGTATTCTTCTAGATTTGGTTCGAATATTCGTTTTCAGTATAGGCTGGTATGTAACTTGTGTGTGCTTTTTTGTTAACGCAACATCACTCGAAACCAAGCCCATTCCGTAAATGTTGTGAGGGGCTGGTTGAAGATTAATTAATACACGACATATTGCACTAGTATTACTTTCAGATCAGATTGCTTCTGGTACTACTAACTACTAAGTCCTCATAATATAGATGTATTGTGTCAACAACAGTATGCATCAACATGCTCAGGAATGTATATAAAAATTAAATTATATTAATTTCTATTTGAATGTCTGTCCCCGTCCACTCTGCGTGTGTGCAGAAGGACATACTGTTACCTCGATCAGTATCATTCTTCTCAGTATTGCGGACGACCCTGATTTGGACCTCCACTGAGATGTTCTTGATCTTGAGTTACTTGAATACTTACTTGAATACTTACTTGAATGCTTGAATGTAGAACTGGGGTGTTCGGAAGGCGGGGTGCTCCATACTTTCTCGCCCCTCTTCATAAGGGTCCATTTCAGTGTGGGCAGGCTGATTGTCTCCATCATCAGCTGGTTGTTGTTGTAGCGTCTGATTGGGTTACACAGGCTGCTCCTCCTACCCTCACAAGGCTGTACTCCTTTCTCAACCACAATCTCCATCGTGGACGATTCCTCTTCACGGCTGCTGGCTAGGTGATCTCGGACAAGGGTTATCACAGCTGAAGTCACTGAAGTTTAATTTTCAGTTATTCATTAGTTTCGTTTAGATATAATCTTGGGAAAGTCCGTCTTCTAAGACGCCATGGTGAACAAGTAAGGATTCCGTTCACAAGCAGTACGCACTGGTTTCAAAATGACTTGACAATCTCTTCTTTTGAGTCTGTTCATCGAACAGGTACCCAGCTAGTCATAATATATGTAAGGCTTCGAGATGTGTCCGGACTTCGTAGCGTGTCCATTTCCGGGATGCTCTCCGTAGCGTGTCCTTTTCCTTTTTATTGCAGTATTCCAAACTGACACCATACTGCCGCGAGTTGGGTGGGATGAGACCGCTATGACTGTTTCCCTTCTCCGTCGTCCCAGTGGTCAAGGTTACAGGACAGAGAGAATAGGGACTGGTCTGAAATCAGCGGTGTCTCCGACTTTTAGTTTGTACCTTGGTACGTGCTGACGGTGCACGTTAAATGTCCCCAAAGGATAGATCTAGTCTCTGGAAAAAGAAAGATGCTCTGTAAATAGCTTTGCAGTACTCTCTTGCAACAGGGGGGACACTCAGTCCCTGTTTGCCGCACTTACTTGGTTGGAGAATAGGCATCATTGCAGGCGGCACAATGCTATAGCTGCTCCTCCCTCCTCTCTGGGATCAATAAAAGGGTCTGCTTGCTGATCGCGCCAGTTATCAGCTGCTTGCCGTGCTGTGTTCATGTCATTAACATTCCTTGACACCGCAGAATCGTCAGTATTGGACGAGTTCGTGCCCGTGTCTAAATCTAAAGAAGCTGTTTGATTCTTTAAAAAGTGACTTGAGCTATAGCTCCAGTGTACAACTTGAGCACTGGATTGAAAGAGATAGCGCGGAATGTGGAAAAAATGGTGCACAGGATACATCTTATTATAATGGAGTTAAGCCCGTATGTGAGGTCAGTATACAAGTACCCATAAAATCTACAAAAATATGATTCAGACAAGAATTGTCACAAATGGTTACGGGGGCGTACTTCTATTTTCAAAGTGCAGAAACTACTTTTTGATTTTTCAGGTTTGATGGTTTTTCCTGTAAATCGAAGGTCTCAGATGTTTTCACTCAGTCATTAGCCGTTTCATATTGTACTGGGGACTACTTCCGTTATGGTGTGGTCATGTCCCCAACACGTTGAGTTCGTTTAGGTGAACAAACTCAAAAGAAAACAAAATTTTCATGGACATAAGATAAGATGAGATAAGAGAAGATAATACTTTATTATCCCAGAGAGAACTATTTCTTGGCTGTACAGGACCGTAAAAACACTTGCAGGTATACATAAACAATCATATTGGAGTCAGCACAGAATAAAAAAAGGATGAGACTTGGTAAAATTTCAAAAGATATTCTATAATACGTTCAACGTTTCGCCCCGACTCCGGGCTTCATAAGGAAGTCAGGAACATTTTTATAAATATTAGATCGAATGACTACACTAGCTATAGAAACCTAAGTGCGCACATCTACGCCACAATGCTAAACGGTGCGATCAACACAAATCGGAAGGCGAGAGAAAGGGAATACAATGGCAAGAAGTGGTATGGATAATATTATCATCATCTATTATATATTTGGCAACTTTGAAACACTTGTGTCACTTTTCCCATAAAACAGCTACTGAGTTGCACATTGGCAAGTACTTGCAAAAAGATAGATAGGTCCCCGTGACGGAGCCCGATTTTTTATTTATTCATTTCCTGAATTTAGACAAATATATTTGACACAGAGTTCTCGTCCTTCTTTGACCTTTGTGATTATTCCACTGAAAAACGTAACAAATCTCCGTAGCCTTCCTTCACAGCGGAAGTGCCGGAAGTGATATTTCGAGAGGGGCATTTTGTTTTGAGAGCATAGATCTAGACCTTGCAATTGTTTGCATCTCTCAAGATTTATTGTTCCATTCCAGTAGAGTGTAAATAAGTAAATATAGTAGGCCAATGACTTTCAGTTGATATTAATACACCGATCATTCCTTTCATCGACAGGGGGCCCAGCTAGTCTTAGTATAATGGAGCTAAGCCCGTTTGTGATGTCAGTACACAGGTGCCCATAAAAATCTACAAAAATATGATTCAATTAAGAATTGTTACGAGGGCATATTATTTTGAAAGTGCGGAAGCTGCCTTTTGATTTTTCAGGTTTGGTGGGGTTTTTCCTGTAAATCGAAGCTCTCAGATGTTTTCACTCTGTCATTAGCCATTTCATGTTTTACTGGGGACTACTTCCGTCATCAGGAACATTTTAAAAAATATTAGGTCTAATGACTACACTAGCTATAGAAACCAAAGTGCGCACATCTATGTCACAATGCTAGAAGGTGAGATAAACACAAATCGGAAAAAAGCCTAAGAAAGGGGGATGCAATTGCAAGAAGTGGTATGGATATATAAACTATAATATTATCTGTACCATCAAATCATATCAATAGAAATGTTATCTACTACGACATAGTAGTAGTAGTAGTAGTAGTAGTAGTAGTAGTAGTAGTAGTAGTAGTAGTAGTTGCTGTTGTAAAAGGAGAAGAAGGAGGAGAAGAAGAAACAGTGGCGTACATCTACATGTGGAAAGGAACTTTTTAAAACTTTAAATTCCCCACAGGTAGGAAACTCTGTTCCGCTCGAATCGAGCTCAAAGCTAAGGTAGAAAAGCAGAAGTCAACTCAGTCCGTATTTCTTCCACCCCGCTGTAAAGGCTATCCTCCTCCGCTTTTGTCAACCTCTGACATAGATGGACAAACTATCTTAATTATCACTATCAATTAGGCACTTCAGTGAACGTGCTCACCACAGCGAGATTCGACTTCGGAAAGTCCCATTGAGCTTTGTTTCCGGACATGACGTCTCGTTGTGTCAGTGGGTTTAAACTGTCCATACTTTTGTTTAATTTAGGGGACCAACATTCAAGTCCCATACATGTCTTCGAAGATCTTTGGGTGGTCTTCAAAATGTGTTTTTTTCCAGGTCGATGAGCGACTCACGAAGGTGTCGAGATATTTCAAGTTGAAAAATAGACACTTTAAAAGTACTTTATAACCATTGGTTTTTCTTAAATCTTCTCGTCATGTTTTTCAAGCTAACCTTGTTGATAAACCATTCTTTGTTCTTCCAGGAAGCGTTTAAATGATTATCGTAGAAGTCTTACCTTGACTAGCGTAGTCTTGCCCTTTTATCAACCAAATCCGCGAAAACCTGGCTGAACCCTTCTACCGTGACATCGCGCCGAGCCGTGACGTCACACATTTTTCTCTTTGAGCTTTTGGCTCCCTCTGTTCATTGTTTGAAATGTACAAGACACGAAAATACATCCCCGAGAGATTTTTTAACTTCAGTTTGAAAAGTTAATCAATTTTGGTTATCTATCTATCTATCTATCTATCTATCTATCTATCTATCTATCTATCTATCTAT